TAACTAACGCAATCCCGGCTGTTTCGCGATGACATCAATCATTCAGGATCATTGCACGGGCAGCGTCGATTCTCTCACATCAATTATTTACTACTCTATTCGAGGTCAGGCAAATAAATTTTTTTATTCATTTATCAAGTATGGGGCGTCCGGGCCTCGAAAACGATCGAATTTATTTACGAAGCAATAAAACCTGATAAAAGTCATCACGAAGAGCCAGACTTACGTCGTAGACAAACTCGAAATTTCTCAGGGCTCGACCAAAGGCTAACATTTTTTTATGTCTTCTGTAGCAAGCAAATATCTAGGAGCGAATCAACAACGCCAAAGCAAACGTTTTCTTATTCGTTTGTAATTTCAATTAACGCTGGCTGCAAAATTATGCAAAAATTCACGCAACTTTTTCTTTTATTTCCTATATTCAAACGACTGTTCAAATTTCGGATCTAGCACGAGTAGAATATTCAAGAAAGCAAAGTTGGGTAACACACCCGCCATGTATTAGAATTCTACGACTCGAAATGAAATTTGAATAAATTCCTGCCGGCAGAATGAAAACGGAGAAGTGTCGTAACTATATCCAACTATTCTCAAGGGATTACGTTCGCGAAAGGGGCCTGAGCTTTGTCTTGGGCATACAGTCTACTATCTGGCGTTGCGAGCTAGTTTATCAAGAGGCACCAGGAAACGTGCGAGATGGCACGCACACAGCACATCGCAATTACCATTCTGAATTCAACGTTGATCAAACTACGACATTGTTTTGCATATGTATTCAGCTTGAAATCAAAAGCGTTCGGGCACACGAAATTACGGTCGAATAAACTTTCATAAATCAACGTTCCACAATATTTCAACGCTACAGTTTCGAATCAAGTTCAAATATACAACACGATTCATTCACTTCATCGTCTCTCTAAAATGTTTCGATCCTCTAGTTTTTTCCAAGATACTTTACAATGTAAAATAAACATTTCATTTCGATGCTCAACTTGTCTGTCGACCCACTTTATGCACCTTCTCAAATAAATCGTTTTGTGTTTGAAACGTTGTAGAAGATTGATTAAGAAAACAAATCTTTCTCGTATTTCTGGAGCCGATCCCAATCTGAAACGTTACAGAAGTTTGATTAAGAAAATAAATATTTCTGTGCGTCCGAAGATGACCCTAAGCTGGTGTCGATCCGAACCAATAGCTCTCAACTTGCCTTGTTCCCCTCTTTTGTTATATTCTGGTTGGACAGATGATACACGCAAACGCGAAACAACTGCTACAAATGGCTCGTATTTCACATCAAAGGCATTAGGCAGAAAGGATAAACGACTTTGACGCACGTCTTGCTTTTGCTTTCAACCCTCCTGTAAAATTGAGACGCGCCTTTTGAACGAGCGCCAGCCAAATTCCCGGCCAGATGTTCGCCGAGATTACAGGCATTAAAATTCTTCGAAGACTACCTGCTATTTCTTGCGAAACGAGTGTGCCCTACGGGGAAACAAAAGAAAAAAAAGAAACAATTCGTCTCCCAGGACTCGATGAATAATTCCGGTGTCTGGAATGTCCTATTGCAAATAGCCTTGGACTTTTTACACGACACGGTTCGCAGTCGGTAGCGAGTCCCAAATACGTTCAAGTGTAAAATGATGACTACTTGTTTCTTTCTCGCTCCAACGAATCGACGCCTTTCATCGAGTTAAATGCTACTCAAAATAGAACGTCACCGACTCTATATTTTGAAAACTACGCCCACGTGGACAAGCTTTACAGAGTATTCCACGAAACTCGGCCAAGCTAGAAGATTAAAAATAACAAAAGAATAACACGTTGCGATTTATCAAAATATAATGAATTTGAATTATATACCTTGTTGTTTCCTGCGTACGAAATAAAAAAAATGCTAAGTTGAGACGATGCATGCGCGTGTGTTAGTTACATTTGGGAAGGTTAAAGTGAAATCTTTCCTAATGAAATGTTTGTCAAAATTCTACTGTTTTCATACTATGGCTGAGGTCAGTAATATGGGAGACCTTGTACATACAGACGTTCGGTGGCAATATCCTATCCATCTGCATCAAGGTTATGCAAATAACGTAAAGTTAAAGGATATACGTATACTTGGTCGATTCTTCTGTTACGTTACATTGTTATCAAGCTTACGCATCTTATGTAATTATTGCGATCTTTATTACGTTTGTTCCGCGCACGCGACAAATGTGTGTCGGTATGTCATTCCATTCGTCTTTCCTTTACACATGCGCGGAACGGCGCATTCCAAGAAGCTGTCGCGCACGTGTCTATGAACCGTCGCAACGTCAGAGACGAGCAATTATTACACGACGTGACTAATTTTAGTCTAGAGTGAATGCTCCTTAAAAGCAAAACGTGATAAATTTAACGACGCGTCTATTTATAGTAGCTCACTCTATATATTTACGCTATATTCAAATTAGAATATATGTATGTATTAACCGTGGCGTTTCGACGAGAAATGTCCGCGATAGAAAGTTGAAAGTCCGACCACGCAACCAATCGAATTTGTATACGTGTATAGGGCAAAAGACCCAATCACTGTCATTCGCGCGACTAATTCTAACCATGTTGATGTGTTTCTATTTTTCTGCAACATCACAAACGTAACCTTTCATCCTGAAGATAAAATTAAAGCAATATACAGATCGATGATTAATCGGTAATTCGCAAGTAAAAATAGATCAAAGACTAAGCTTGGATCAATAAATACCAGGATTAACGGATGGATAAGATGATTCAAGTCTTGGCCAAAGTTTATTGTATGTTTATCGAATAAACACGTCGATGAAAAAGTTATTACCCTGTTTGTCCTTCTTCTTTATTATTGTTAGTGTTAATGGGTCTGCGAAAATTATTCAATTTTATTTATCTGTCATTTGTTTATACTACGGGTTAAAATTCATTCGATGACGTAAATACGAATTGGTATTGTGCAAAGTTGCCAACTTTTGTAAATTTTTTTTTTTGCAAGTTCTGTTTCTTATTTATTTCTAAATACATACACGGAAGACTCTTTTCGTCGGATCGAATATTTTATGAAATCAATTACATCGTGTATATAACAGAGTTTCTGGCGAATAGCTGTTACCTTCCCGTGCTTATGCTATCCTCTATTACCAGTTCTATAATCTCCGGATACTGTAATTGTAAAAGGTGGCAACCCTAGTATTATGTGGTGCTAGCTGCCATTCTTATTCAAGCGTGTAGTCACGTAGCATGTTTCGTATTTTAATGTGCCTACATGTTCCGTTATTCTTTTTGTTCCTTGTCATTAATGCAATTGCAACAATATCATTTATCTAGCCTTGAATTCTTTGACACATTTACAAACATAATTCGAATCCTTCATACTGTGCTTTCAAGCATTATAAGGACTACCGATGGGTAGAATCGAACAATTTCTGATCAACAAAAACATTTTAGATTCTAATTTACGAAAGCTTTTACAAATGAAACATAACGGAAGTTGACTCATCAATGAATTCGAAATTTTTATTCGTTAATCGCGAATAAAATTTGGCCAACTTTCCTTTCAAAATTTCAATTGTCAAATTAAATACTTCGCAACGAACGAATGGATATTTCATTGTTCGATCGAATAAAATTTTACCACCTATCCTTGTACTGGATTCCTTCGAAGCAACGAAGGATATTAAGGAAATTCTTTATCCCCTTTTATATACCGTTATTTGGAAAGGTTGTAAACACAATAATAGAATCTACCTGCGCCGTTCTGTCGTACATTCCATTCTTCACTATGCGTTCGTAGTAATTTTTACCTTTACTTTCATTTATACGCATACACGGTGTTCGTTTGAAAACATTACATTTAAATATCTCGGGGGAAAAGATCGCATAATAATTTTTGCGCAATCTTCGTAATGTGTTATCAAAATGTTTTCCATTTTGTGTTAAGAGAAAACTTTCCAATTACATTTTTATCATTATCGCATTTTCAACGTTATCGATTTATGATTTTGGGTAGTACCTGCTCGCAAGAAAGATTTTAATATTCCTTGCTACTTGGTAATGCAAATTTTTCAACAAAATTTTATTTACTTTCTTACGTCATCGTGTTAGTTACACGGAATATATAAATGTGAATCGAAAGTTTATCAAATTCACGATAAAAATTTTTATGTAACGTGATTCACATCTGTGAAAAAACTGAATGCGTAGGGCAAGCTATATGATAACCGTTATCAGTCAAAAGGAGCTAGTACTAATTTTAATAGTTATCAGCGAAACAAATAGCGAAACATAGTACGATTATCTATTAAGCGATAATAGTCAATATGTTTAAATTAAACTTGGATGGTTTCGTTCTTAAATATTTGTAAATTCATTAATTTTTCTAATAAGATTATTCAAGATCTTCGCGATAAAGTATTTAATCTCATCTTGTCTAGCTTGTTAACACAGTTAGAATTATTACCTGTCAAACATTTGATGCTTAATTGATGCATATTTACAGATTTCTCAGATTAACGGCTCGATAGAAAATTTATTAAAATACTTCCTGCGAATAATATTGAATGGCTCGTCGAATAAACCATTCTCTAACGTTGTATAATCTAAATAAAATCTTTCGTCACCGACGGGTTACGTTCGCTTCGAAAACCTTAAAATAAATCATCTTGCCAACAAAAAGAGAAAAGAACGAACGATACACGCGTTGATCGACTTTTGGTTGAAAATGAAATAAATAATGATATCGTAAACTTCCTGATAGTATGAAGATCATTAAACGCAAACGATACCTTTGATCGTTTCTGTCGCATTAGTCACATTTTTATTCTTATTAATCAATGCAATACTTGTTATCTTTATACGAATTTGTCGAAAGTTAACGGAACAAGATTGAAAGGAAGAAAATGTCCGTAATCGATCATGTTTCATTCTTCGAGTCTCGATCTTCTTCGGAGACAATCGGCGGGTTGAAAAGAAAAAAAACAAAAAGAAATGGTACTCACTTGAAGAATTTCGTTTGCCGTATCGTCTCGTAATATCTCGCTAATACTTTCAGAAGCGAGCTGTAATTGACCGTGCTGGACCTTAAAATGTCATCGGCCAGTTCTGGAATGACAACTGCTTGGGTTTTCTGCTGCTCGACGATCTCCAACTCTTTGGCTATCAGATCGTCGTGCAATTTCATGTACTTTTCTTTTGCTTTTTGTAGCTTGTTGTTCTGCTGATGTGCCACAACCGGCTCGCTGGACTCGATACCGACTAACGTACGCACACACATGGCTCTTCCTTTTAACAACCGTTTGCGAAAATTCCACGGGACGAGAAAAACGAAGTAACGTGTCGAAATGTGCCGAATTGTGTTTCACCAATTGCGGGGAGAAATGTTGGGAGAATTTCGTATGTCGTTTGAAAGACAATTTGGAAATCGCGTCACGAACGAACGCTATCGCGAACACGTACTGTCGCGCAGTGCGCTGCACTGTCGCTCTAGCCTCTTTTTATACTTCCCCACCATCGATACGCGATCGACCAATCACGGGGCCGAGCGATCGAGAGGGTTTGCCGTTCGTGAAATCCTGAATTTACGAGGGATGAGTTCGGTGATCTGTGAAGACGTTTCTTAGATTGCATGCCATAAAATTTGATCTAGGTACCTACAAATGATCAATGATTTGATCTAGGTACTCGGTAGCGTAGTTTGTATTTTGAGTTGCGTTTCGTTTTTTTTTTTTATTAGATATATATTTCGAGATCGATGTTGCTTCGTTATATGTATACGTATACTGGTGATTCACAGCAATCGATTAACGAAAAAATTAATTCCATTTATTATTATGGCAATAGTCTTTCCATCAAGGATGAAGTACTACTTTCAACATTTCATAACTAATGCGTTATACACAATTTTCTTCGGGTAATTGTAATCCCCTTTGGAGGTCGCATTAATTAAATGCGTCGAAAAAGAAACAGAAAGGGATCAGATTGATTCGATCGAACGGAAGAGAAGATAAAAAAACAATCAGATTGCATTTAAATGTGTTAGCTGTGTTTATCGATACAATCTCGATATGTCGTACTACAGACGAGGTGCAAAAATCCTTCGCTCACTATCGTATACAATTACACGATAACGTTTCTGAGACAGGTCAATGTCCTTACAATTCAACATTTGCATAATAAAGTAATATAAAAGCGATTGAAAAATTGTTTGTGTTAAAAGTAGTACTCGTACGTCGTGTTCGGATGAGAGGTATACTTGGACGGATTATATTTCTTACAAATACAATTCTTTGATTTTACACTTATCATTGTAAAATGTACGAATAACTGAAATTCAAAAAAATAAACATTTTTCGAATCGTGTCACTGGTTTGATTTGTCTAACTCTCCTGCTGGGTATGCATTCGCGGGACTAATTTGTGCTGATTTCAGAAAAGAAAGCGATGCATTATTCAAACGTAAACGTTACAGAGAAGAAGAAGAAGAGACGCGAGACAGGCAAAGAAGAAAACTAAGAAGCCTTTGCTATGCGTCGAGCATTATTCGGCAATTACAGTTTTTTACTTTGTTGATTTTAAATGGAAGGGGTACGACTGGCAGATAACATGTCGACGAAAGGTCTCCGGACAATAGATTTCCATGTCTACGCTCACAAAAATTTCACTGCAAAATTTAAGAACGAATTACAAGTATTGTAACGTCTATAATAAGGTTATCTTGATACTTCTTTGAACAAAGTACGTTACCAACTAAAATACAATAAAAGCTTACCGAAATATGTATCGGAAAAAAAATTTAGACGCCATCTGTTAGCCATTGTTCCAGGTTGGAACTGAAACGTAATAAATTGCTTATCTACAAACAAGATTTGATTGATTCGTGTTTTAATAACTCTTTGACGTACAAGTAATTTTTCAAATGTATAATATTTAATTTTGTTAAATATGTTCATAGATTCAATGCTCGCAATAAAGAATAGATATGTTTTACTGTAATACAATAATTTTCTAATTAGAATTTTTCAATTAATTCGATTGTAATTCTGCACAACTCTCATGTTAATCGATAGTAGTTCGCGTCTACGTGATTTCCCGCAACGTCAGAAATTTCGGTGTCTCGGTGTTCGTAGAATTTTTAATATGATCGTTACCATTCTCACGTATCGAATGTCTCTTGCAACAGCAAATTCCAATAATCGTATTGCATCAATCTTACTATTTCTATGTATGATTGAAATTCGAAACATTCTTGTTTAATAAAAAATAAATTCTTTCCCTCGATTCACTTTGATTTTTTCTCTATAATGACTGTTAAATTAATTTGGCGGGATTTTGTATAGATCCCCCCATAAGCTCCGCTCCTCCACATCTCTTGGGAGCAGATCACGTATTTTCCAAATAAAATTTTATGGCGGTCGAAAACTGGTTCCGAGAATTAGACGAGGAAAACGTGATTCGTATCAGGTTTTAGAATTAGGTGAAGGACTGAACATAAAACAGGCCTTGTCTGCTAAATACTTCAGCAAGTAATTCAAGGAAGAGTCTAATATGATCGCACAGCGATCTACTTTTCCATAGAATATGAGAATAAAGTTTGTAACATTTATCACGAAACATATATATTTCATTCATATATTTATAAATAATACTTCACAATTCTGAAACTACGAAAGAATGAATGTACAGTATTCTAACTGTACCAAACTAATTTGGATACGATTCTTACGGGCAGCGAAGGGGTATAAAAACCAGTTCGTCTTCGTTGATTTTCAGATTCGATAACCCATTGTACAGTCCCGCTAAGAATACTGTGTGTCGACTAAAACAGAAGAAATTGCGGTTATGGTACAATATTACGAACGTGTATTAGATGGCTCTGACGTTCTATCATGTTATATATTTTTAATAAAAACAGTTAATAAATAATATACCGTTATAAAGAGCTATACGCAATTAAAGGCTATCGATCGCGGAATATTTGGCAAAGTACCCATCCCTGTCTGTGTATTCCTAAAGCTTCATCTATTTTTAGTACGCATTTACTAACACTAAACACTACGGTTCCAATAATGCATTGATGGTATATTTGAATATTACGTGAAAGTATAGCGTTACACGTAAAATACTAATACAAAGATATATTTTAAAGGGTTTTAAGTGCTTTATAACGCGTCTTACCACAATGACGTATGGAGAAGATCATTAACTTTTGAATGGGAACTAGCAGCAAACCTTGGTAATAAATTTGTTAAAGGAACGAAATAAGTAGGTCAGCAAACGAGGCACGAATGCGTGCAAGAGGATCGAACATTGATCATAAACATTTGGGTCGATTGACGCAATCGAGGAGGAAGCATTCGTTAAACGTGATCACAGTCACGTTATTAGGAAGTTCTGTTGCGTGTTCTTTAAGTGAAACGCACGAAGCAAAAAAAAAAAAAAAAGAAAAGAAAAAGAAAAGCTAAGTTTTCTTTCCGTTATCTTTTATTCCTGTCCAGAAAAACATTTATAGGTCCGATCGGATTCGAAATTTTAGTGTTGATTTTATCGTTGAACGAAAGCCCGGTGCGTTATCGTAAAATGCTTACAATTGGCAAATTTATTTTAGTAATTTATACATGGCGTATTACATGAAATCACATTCATTTCAAACTACGTTTCGGATCAAAGACAATAATGAAAAAATAACGTATAGAAATAAACTATGAATAATATGACCGCAATCATGCTTAGCTAACAGCGATCTATGTAAAATACAAAAATTAAGGTTCGTAGACTAACTCTGATCCATCGCGTTGGTTTCGTTCATACTGCTGCCAGTGCAGTCCTTCTGAATTATTTCGAACAGCGGCTGTAATTCGGACGTTGCTTTGATCTGCGTTACGAATTCGCATAACGACGGATTTTTATCTAGAAAGTAAAATTAAAAATTTTTATCGATTACGCGATAACATTATTTCAAGAAATATCTACTACGAGAATTCAATTGTAAACATTGTTCACCGGCGTCTGGTATAGTTAGAAGCGCTGCTACTGCCCTCAATGCCGAACGTTTAAGTTCATCTTGCTTCTCGTACTCTTGTTTCACCGAATTCGCCTTTACTTTCATTGTACAAGTACTTTTCAACGGTTCGACTAACCGCTCCAACCCTGAACACGAGCACAAGACAGTATTAATAAAGATGAACAACGTGTTCGTTTTCCGCGCAGCACTTACTTTGCAGAACCGCTGTAGGACACAATTGCGCGAGCCTGGCGGTCATAAGGTAGGTCAGCATTTTGATATCATAGTGATCTCTGAGGCCGTTTTCAACGTGATTCAAAAAGTTGAAAACATCTAGCCGATCCAGACAAGAATCGAGCAAGGTATACATGCATTCGAATGCTGCTTTTCTGAGATCCAGGCCATCGTCCACCGTGTGTTTGAAGGGGCCCATTTCGACCTCTCTTATCAGTTCTTTCTACATTTAATTAATCGAATGTGCAACAAATAGTTCATTCACCAAGAAAGCAAATAGTTTTGTAACAAGTTAAACATTATTTTTTTTCTCAATTACCTTTATCTTTGTTTCGGTATAAAGATGTGGTAGCACAGAATCTAGTAAATCTCTTATAAGCATTGGTTTATTGTGAGCCGCCGAATTAAATGCAACTAAAGCTACCCTCCTTACATTCAGATCAGGATCTTCCAGCGCGACTAAGAAATTGCCCATACATTGTTTTAACATAATATCGATTTGTTGTGGCTGTATAAAAAGTTACAAATTACTCTTACACGAACGTAACAATTACATATACAAGGTGCCCCACGCAACAAGGAAAAGCTATATCTCTAATATAGCATAAAAAAAAATTGCACATCATTTTTTATCTCTAACCGTTTTAGAGATACAGCTTTTTCTAGTTGCGATGGGACACCCCGCAGAATTTTTACACGGTGTTACATTTACGTAAATACCTGATCGGAAATAGTGAATTTAACAGCTGTAACTGTAGTGGTTCTCATGAACGCGGAAGGTGATTTTAGAGATTCTTGTAATCTTGGTAACAATGTGGTAGGATCGATCAAGGTGAGCTTTCCCAGACATTCAGCGACGACATTGCGTGTACCTTCTTCTGTGCATTCGCAATGCCTGTACAACAGCATCCAAATCGAAGGCACAAAGTTTTGTAAATGGGATACACCAGAAGGACTAGCTGATTGACACGTGATAATCTGCAAAGTAACATTTCCGTGATACATAACGTTCAAAGTAAAAATATATATTGCCAACAAATAATGTTACCTCTTTTAACGAATGCAGGAGGAGATATTGACGTTTCGGTTGTGCCTCAATTTCTTTTAATATAAACGGTAAGTATTCGGGGAGATTGCCGACTGCTATGTTCCCTAATGTGTAACTTGCTGCCGATTTTACTTCCTCCGAGTGGGACGAAAACGAATTTAAAATTATGTGCTTTAAAGAAGCGATTCCACTCAGATCCCTGAACCGAACAGAGAAATAAAAAAAATTGGTTGATCAAGGAAAATAAACTGCAGAGAAACGCATAGAGCATTACTTACACGTGTCTACCTATTTCACCGATAACCAATAATGCAAAAATATGTTGCGCGTCGCTTTGTGGATTTTGAACGTCTTTTAAAAATTGTTCCACTACTGCCTGCGCTTCTTGATGCCATGTGATAGTTAACGCGGCCGCGCATTTGGCAAGCGAATGGTAAGCTTGCTTGTGAAGTACAGACAGGCTAACGGATGCTATCAACATCGAGAGCAATTCTCTGTAACCAAGATCCGGTATGTCTGCCTGAACTAACGCTTGGAAAAATTCTAACATCGAGTTCAAAGCTACGCCTGAAATACGATAGAAATAAGAAGTTACTAGTTAAATGTAGAAAGAACTGATAAGAGAGAGGTTGAAACAGGTTACGTAATATTTATTTGTCAATACATTAAGGACTGAAAATAAATATAAATGTTATTTTATAATTAGATTAATTCGCTGACTTAATATAATATAAATATTAAATGATTTGTGGTACCTTGAAGGAGCGGAGATTTTACTAGAACTAATATTTCCGGTAGGATATTATCAGACACCCTAGTCAGGGCGACTGGATGTAGTTTTGCAATAGTCGTGAGAAGATTAAGAGTTAACTGCGCAATATGTAGATCAGTCTCATTTAATAACGCTGGCAACTCCGTGGTAACCTGACAACATATTTAATTCAAATTTAATTTGTTGAAATAGCAGAGGTTAGAAATTCTTTAAAAAAAAGCTTCTATTACCTTATCTAATAAATCTACGTGAAGAGCAGAACTATAATTTTGAACCAGAGTGTCTAAAAGTGATAGGGAACATAACTTTAAAGCTCTTTGATTCTTTCTGAGGAATGATCCAAGAATTGGAATTGCCTCTTCCTGTAAAAAGCGTGGCGATAATAATTTACGTGGAAATAACCGACGGACACACTGTATAATATACGTACCATAATTTGCTCAAGATTTACTCTCAAAGGAGACGATGCTATACACGTTAATGCTTTGACTGTCGTGAGTCGTGTAATTTCGTTACGGAGTCTGTCCAAAAATATAGGAAGGCATAAGCGCAATTCATCGCACAATATGTCTCCAAAATGGGCGAGAATTTGACCCATACAAGCGATCGCCCTTTCTTTTACTTCTTGATCGATGTCGGCTGTCTTTAGTCTCATTAACGTGCAATGATATATTTCGCCAGACAATGACGTTAAATCGAAATAGCATGGTTTGTCTAAAATAACATTTGACAATTAATCGATGATCTACAATTCACCGATAAAATATCCTAGACCAAAATACCTCTTTAAAGTATAAAATTGTATAATAATTTACAACTTACTATGTGGTCTAATGACTTGTACAAGCTGTTGCAACACTAACAACGCTTCGGCTGTAATTTTATAAAATGGGTCTCCAACAGCAGCTATGATCGGTGGTACTAAAACCGCCATGTGAGCACGAAACACTTCAGGTTGATGAGTTATCAATAACGTGTGTATAAAAGCCAATGTGTCGATTTTCATGTTCGAAGAGGAGTTTTTATCCCCCAGAGAATACTGTATACCGGATATCAATGCCGGTATATGATTGTTTAAAGCCCCAGGCAATACGAGTACCAATTCTTTTAACAACGAAAAGCAATCTTGTCGTGTCTTAATGCTTTTCTCTTTCATTTGACGATGAACCGCTTTTACTATCAATGGAACCTGTTGTTGCAGCAACGATATCGGACCATCGTCGTCTTCCATTGCATCGGGATCCAGAGGCACACCAGTAGCCGGTCTTGTCTGTCTTAAAAGTGCAATATACGCATGGAAAATATCCGATTTTACATTTTCCTCTCTTTCTTTAAATCTGGATATCAGGGCTGGAGAGACAACTTTATAAAGGTCAGGGAGAAGTTCTCGTCTAGTGGATACAACAGCTTCGAGACATTTCGCGGTTGCTCTACGAACTTTCCAACTCATATCATCGTCGTCTGAATACTCGTCTTCCGCGTCTTCCTCTCCGTCTTCCTCTATTTCCATTACAACGCCTTCGCCGTCGGACGAATCGCTCATATCATCGTCGTAATTGTAGTTTGGATCGTACGTGATGTAAACCAAACAAATTTCTATTATTTTATTTATGTGCGGTGTAATTTCTTTAGGGCATCTGTACACAAAAGACTCGAACGCTTGCAAACAGTATTCTCTCAGCTCGTCGTCATCCTCGTTGCTATACTGTACAATCAGTGGCATGACCCTCTCTATTTGTTCACCGAATCTGTGCCCCGCTTGACGACAAATAGAAGCGATGCATTGTATATAGGTGCGTATCACATTTTTTGCAGTTTGTGTAGTAAGACCTTCCAGTAAATGATTCAAAAGTTTATTATACAAATAATTGTTACTCGATGTCAAAAGGTGGCTCAACGCCACTATAGTACGCTTTCGAACTGCTTGACGGGGAGAAGAAAGTTGCGGTAGCAGAGCGGCCAAAATAATAGAATGAAAGGCGACTAGTAAAGCACCAAATCGAGACAACAAGTCGGCCACAATATCGAGGGCCTCGAGTTGCACGGACACGTCTTCCTGCTGTTATAAAAAATTAATTAATTATATCGTTCTGAACTTATAACGCGAAATTTAAATACTTAATAATGATGATTACTTTTTCTATAGCGCTGCTAAGTCGGCCAGTTATTCGTTTGCAAACATTTGCAACGAGTGCACTGGATCCCAAAGGAAGTTCAGAAATCACAGTCTTCAAACCGATACTGGAAATATCTCTTAACTGTTCTTTGTCTGACACCATGTTACTACATAGCGCGTCAACGATAGTTTCCACTTGGTACTCCTTTACCTTATTGACTAAGGGGCCCAAACTGAAATCGGACACGTTTCTGTAATCGTGTCCAAATACAGAGAAAATCTTGCAGATGCAAGAAAAAACTTAACTGATATTTTTTAAAGTAACATACAGTATTATTATAGATTTACAAAAAAAAAGAAAACACTTTAAGTTTCAGGTTTAATTTACATATTACTGTACCATTTTACTGCAAGATTTTGTACTTCTCCATTTTTGTCCTCCAGTAGTTTTAAAAGCATCTTTACAACTTTACGTTCTGAATCATCGTCCAATTTGATGCTGTCTTTTTGTAACTCGCTCATTAGATCATTAGTTGCCATAAATCTAAAATCCTTGTCACTGGAGGTCATCTAAGACAACAAATTTTATCATACAATTACAAAAAAAGGCTGATTGTAAATGTAACATTGAAAAATTAGTAACAATAGATCTACGATACAAAAGGACTAAATTTCGAATCATTTATCGAAAATTAAAACAATATTTACATAAACTCGCCTTTATGACAGCTGAGAATAGTTTTGTTTCTTGTTGATATAACATATTTATCAATGCAGAAATTTACATCTATAGTAAACAATGATACGTTTATTTGAGTATATTCATGAAAAATGTTTAACAGAATCAACCGAACGCACTATCATTATGTACAATGAAGATTAATAAAACGGATTTTACGGAATTAATAGAGTATTCTTTAAAGAGATAAAGCGAGGTTATGTAGAGCTTTAATATTATCACCGGTTCAAGTACTAACACTTCTGTGAAGCATTATCTTAAAACAATCGGTAAAACGAATATGCAATATCGAGATACAGTAAAAATATATTTCGATGGCTAAATTGAATACCTTCTCCAGCAAGTTTGCGATTTGATAAGAGACACTAGCCATGATTGAAAACTTTTTCACAGCCGGTTACAGTTGTCGTCCCTATATTCTATGTTATAAATTGAACGAAAAGAAAATTACAAAATTTCCTGGAAACAGACAACACTGAATACGATTCTATTTAGTCGGTCAAAGACTTTGCTAGAAACTGTATCTTCAATGAAATTTCGCTGTCGGCAACATTTCAACACTGCGAATCTTTACCGCAAACTTCGACTGCCAAAATTTTGATGGTAATTCTGCGTTCCTAAATCCATCGGATAACGACAGAAAAGAAACATCAAAATGCTACCTTGCGATTGGTCGCTCGCTTCTTTTCCACCTTAAATTTACACGAACGAAATATTTACAAAATTTCTTAATTACTACATTAAACACAATTTAGCTATACACATTCTTAAAAATCACCAATGGATTAAAAACGAAAAAATATATTTTGTTGGAAGGGGCGTAAAATGTACATTTTTATTTTATAAAAGTATACAAATTTTATTTAGATATATTACATCTTACGATATTTAAATCTTAAATTATATTAATTGCGACATTAATTAAACTCTTGAACATTTAAAATATATAAGTCTTTGTCAGTTAATAATAAAACATAAATTAGCATCTTTGCTGCTTATAAAAAAAATAAATATTAATTATTGTACTAGTAGGTAACAGAGAAATAATATTATAACAATAAAATGCACAGTTACTGCAGATTTTCACTCAGATTCGTTTTCAATGTCTTCATCTGCACTTTCTTTACTTATTTTCTGTTAATAATTTTATCGTCGATAAAATATTGATGTGTCTAAAGTAAATACATGTATTTTTAATATTCAGTATAATATACCTGTGTTCCCGAGGAACCTGCAATATCTTTCTCTGAATTTTGATTGAGAAAACAGGTGATAGGCTTCTGCCATTCTGGAGTTTCTCTCGGATGATATGGATTACCACCTGAATAACTCTTTCCTAAAATTATACTTCCATTCACATTTACGTTTGATAACATATATATAAATAATTATCTTCACTTTTTAAAGAACAAAGAAAATATAGAGTTTACCTTTACCACCTAATGTCACTTTTTTGGGGGTTGCACTTTTTACGGATTTATTTGGGGCTTTGGCGCCAACAGCTGTAAATAACGAAGGAAAAAATAATTTATAATAAACATAATCAGAAAGAGAAACGTTTGGAAAATTTAACGACACAGAATAAGATCAATGACTGAATCGAGCCGGGGGTTGCTCGAAACACAAAGGAACCGTTTTTAAAATTCAGTAAAACAATAGTTCTTGAAAATTTTTACCACCTTTTAAAGGTACACGATCTGCCTTTGTTCTCACCATATCGTTAAGATCAAATATTCCAAGTATAAAGATTTTAAAAACCAAGAAACAACACTAAATTTACAATATTTCGTTAGAGTCTAACCTAACAGTTAAATTTCGCGTTATTCAAATCAACTGCGTGTTCATATTGCCAATCGTAATCGTATTTACCCAAGCAAGATGAACTAAACAGTACAGCCAACTTAAAAATGATCCTACTGTAAAAATTATTAAACAATGCCTTAATTTTTTTCGATACTTCGAAACAGTTTAAAGTTTTGAATTACAGATATCTCAACAAATTATGTTTCATTTGTTTATAAACGATAGATGTAACAATATAAATACAAACATTTGTATGATTTATCGATTGGTCGAATATTTAGTCTTAATTCCAAACACCGAAGGTGCTAAATTCGAATTCCAGTATAGACCGATAACATTGGAAGTGACATAAACATGCTGAGGGGGCTCACGGTTCCCCAATCCATATGACAAACGAAAGCATTGCATGCAACGTCTGTTCTATACCCCGTCTGTGGTGCTAGGTTTTACATTTTATTGGATGCTAAAATTATTTTTCACTTTTCTACATCTTGCTATGTTAATATTGTAATGTGTACTGTCTGTATTTAATAGCATAAAATATAGAATTGCTTGTAATGTAAAAGGAATGCATGAAATTGAAAGAAAGGTGTAAGATTACGCCGGGATAAATTGAATCCATGGGAATACTTGTAAAGAATCGTGCGTAATTCGCTGCAGCCGAAATGTCGTATAAAATCGGACAGCGCGTTGAGGTTCCTGGCAAGGACTGTCAAGGAGTAATCGCTTACATCGGTCATCCAAGTTTTGCTTCGGGAAAATGGATCGGAGTAATACTCGATGAACCTAAAGGAAAGAATAACGGCACTATTAAAGGTCAACCGTATTTCAAGGTATGTTTTGGCACGCTATGTATGTATATTTTTAAACAAACGAATCCATATTAAAACAGGATTTAAGGAGCATATAATTTCAATGTTTCTGTTATACCAGTGTGCAGAAAACTATGGAATGTTTGTACGTCAGTCCCAGCTCATTTTATTGGACGAAGCAGGTAACAGAACGGAGCCTGCTAGTCCATCTTCTGCAGGCAGTAGCGCTACAACACCGGACGAGGCCAGCGTAGCAAGGGCTAGAAGCAGATTGAACAGGTATATCTTATGTTTATAGTTCGCAACTTATTCTTTAGATAAATCTTGTATCATCAGGTATTCTATTCGATTAAATATTCTTAGTATAATATATGCAATCACGATTAATTATGTTAATATAAATTTCATGCTACTATTAGTACACATAGAAGGAATGAACCCACTGCGTAAGTTTATATTTTTGTATAATCGCTCAAAGTTATCAATATGAAAAGTGTAATGTTTATTATATTGGCAATAATCGTTTAAAAAAAAAGAGAATAGGTATAATTAATAGATTCTTAAAATTCATATGCTGGTCATAAAAGAGTAAGGAGAAAAACATCTCCTGCGCATGTTACCCGGCAGCAATCTGACAAGCTTTCTGGGTAAGAGTTTGTGTACGTGGATCGTTGGAAAATGTCTGTCTCGACGTTCTGTTTAAATGTCTTTATGTATGTGTAATGTAATTGCTTGTTACAAGCATCTATGGTTTTACAAGTCATTGCGATGCCATGACTTTTCCCTACTGTAGATTTGTAATCATATTACAATTTTAATAATGTATAAATTGTTACGAAAGTACACTGGAAGCCTAAATCATTTATAAGCATTCATATTTGAACACAGCAAACATACAAATAAATATAACAATGTAAGGAGATGCAATTGACCTGATATTATTTTTTATATTTAGAGCTATGTTGCAGTAGTAGTTATATATTTTTAATGTTAAAATATATTATGTATTTAGGAAGTACCGTTAAACATCGATTATCCGAAATATTAGGGAAACAAAATATTTCAGTATTGCATGCTTTGCTTTAAACCAGTGTAGTCAGACAGTAGATGCTTTAAGTTTTTATTATTAAATTATTTTTGGTTTAAATCTGTAATTTTTTCTAGAAATGAAGGTCTTGAAAGCGGGATAATATATGCACGATGAGAAACCTTATATAGCTGGTACTCCCAGAAAAAGGGCACTAATTCTTTGCAAAATACAAATACTACTCTTTTGTTCTAGTGTATCCTAGAAAAGTGTTATTGTTTATGTATGATTGATGATACATTTCTTCGGATTATCGACGTTCGACTATAACGTTTATCATTATATTTTAATTTCGTTCTATAATGTTTTCAACTGTATATAATCAATGTGTAATACTCTGTAACTGTGATGGCATTAATTGAAAATATTATATTAGCTTTGATATTGTGAATGTTCAAATTACATATACAAAGAAATTATTGAAACTATAATCTTTACAGCTCACGATTATCTTTGGCCGGTAGTAGAACGCTATTAAGTGCTCCGAGTACAGAAAGTTTATCCGGATCGCAACACGAGCGCAAAGATGGTGGAGAGTCCCTTATACCGGCACCAACTTCAACCAAAAGAGCTTCATTTATCGAGGTATTGTTTCTTTGTTTGGTAAATTGTTTTCCTCGCAGTGATAATTTATAACAAGTTGATGTACCATTTATTTATGTAAACACAGTAAATGGATTATTCTGAGGATTCAACAAGGCATGAATATATGGTATAATGTTTTCAGCGAAGTGTAAAGATACGTTTAAACGTGATAAATTTTCATGATCAAGTTAATAGGAAGCGATTGGTTTTATTATCTTCGAATCTCTGGGCTATTCAAAGTAATCTGTATGTTTGCTAACAATCGTATTTAGAGAATCGTATTCTGTGACGTGGTATTAATGTAACGAATGCCTCTCGGTGCGTATGCCCCATTGCCAGAGAGATTCTTGGAAATCTTTAGCGAAATAACGAAACAATATGCTGTAAAGTTTGAAAACAAGTTAGATGATTCCGTTGGCACAGAATGATTCATATGGGAATGCACGTACGTGTTTCAGAAGTCCCCTAGCACGAGCTCGCCTCCCGGCAAAAAGCCAAAGGCCCAAGATGATCACAATAATGTAATTAATACTCATTAATTGTAATATCTAAATTTTTCTCATCTGACCTTAAACTTTCTCATACTAGTTGTTTGTTGATCATAAGCATTGTAACACGTGACTTCATAACAACTAGCATCATTGCACTTTGATGGGTTTACCTGTTCTTATTGGATTATGGAATTTATATACCCTCCACCATATTCACTGTTGCATTAAGCATCTGCTTTGTTAATTCAGTTCTGTGATGCTTTGATACCCTACAACTTTTAAGAGGAAGGGGTATTCAGATATGTAGTTGTTTTTTTTAACAATTAGATGCTGAATTCCCCTTTATAGTCGTATTATCGGGGCGATAATAACAATTTTTTTTACGAACAAGCACTTAACAGCATTGTGGTATAAAGGTATACTACTACTACTTGAGAACCTCTCCTTTTCTTTTTTTTTTTTGATCACTTACCAAGAATTAGATATCCCTGATAAAAATGCAATTAATACTTATAAATGATTAGGATATGATAGTTGACTTAGTTGATATTGTGCCTACTGCAAATTCCAATGTCATATAACACAAATCGACTCATTGACTGAATTTCCTACACTTGTTAGAACTAATAGAGTATTCGGTGTAGCTTGTTGGTGTCTTTTATTACAATTAATCTCATTAATCACTTTAAAATAGACTAATTCTATTGAATGTACATACAAAAACAACATTCTTTTAAAACATAATGTTTTTGTACAGGAAATGTGGGGTGTCTTTTTTATTACCGCAGATAAAATAAAATATGTTTGTTTGTGTCGTTTATGAATAAATATTCGGTAAAGATGGAACATTTTAGGGCATCACGGCTACGTAGAAGGACTTGGAAAAAGTTCTTTCGGAACGTGTGTTTTTTCCAGTGCGATAATAAAAGAAACACCCAATTTATGTTAGGCCACGGTTTCATTTACTGTTTGTTTATAATTTAGACAGGTTTTGTAGAGACTTTAAAGCCACAATTTGTACCCGGCCAAGTAATGGCAGGTTCAGCAGCAGCTGCAAATGTAATAGAAGAGAAACTCTCACATTTGCAACTTCAGCAAGAGAATGAAAATTTGAAATCTCAGGTAAACAGTTTGAAAAAAACCGTATTTCAAATTATATTTATTTATTAAACGCATAATATGCATTTATGTAGGTTCGTGATCTCACTGACAAAGTCGAAACATTGCGCGTGAAGAGAATGCAAGATAAAGAACGAATGAAAGACTTCGAAAAGACGAAGCTTCAATTCGAACAACTTTTGGAATTCAAAACGAAAGTTATGGAGAATCAAGTAATTACAATTCGTAATTAATCTTATAGATTTCTTTATTGAGATATTTTTTATTTAAATATCTTCTTTTATGACACAAGGCTAGTCTACAAAGGGAACTTCAACGAGCACGCCAGGAAACGAAAGATGCGCACGTAGCTCGAGAACAGTTCCAAGAAGAAATGGCAGATCTTGCAGAGACCGTAGAAATGGCCACATTGGATAAAGAAATGGCCGAGGAGAAAGCCGAGACATTACAGATTGAATTGGAACAATTAAAGGAAAAATTGGAAGAGCAAACATTAGATTTAGAAATACTGCGGACAGAAATGTCTGAGAGGGTAAAATACTTTTTAATTTGTATTCAGACGTTATTTCAGTTATAGTTTATGATTTTGTGATGACGAGCATTAGTATATGACCATTATTGTAGGCTGCAGGAGGAGGCTCGAACACTGGTGCTTCAAGTTATGAGATAAAGCAATTAGAACAGCAGAACAATCGATTACGAGAAACTCTCGTTAGGATGCGAGATCTGTCCGCCCACGAGAAACATGAATTCCAAAAGCTTCAAAAAGATTTAGACCAAAAGAAGTCGGAAATATTGGAACTAGGACGCACAAAAGAGAAATTGTCAGCACGAGTCGAAGAAATGGAATATCAGATAGCAGACTTGCAAGAACAAGTGAGGAGTATCGATAGTCCTGGACTACAAATTTTTTTTCTCGATACCAATATGAAACTTGTTTCATGAAACAGGTCGATGTCGCGTTGGGCGCTGAAGAAATGGTCGAGGTGCTTGGTGAAAAGAAAATGGCGTTGGAAGAGAAGGTGGCGGAACTGGAGGAAGCTGTTTCAGATTTGGAAGCTTTACAGGTATGTCGTTTGTAACCATGTCAAAACTAGTGTTATCAAAGTAACTTCTGTTCAGGATATGTCCGACCAACTTGCTGAATCGTCGAAAGAATTGGAATTGGAACTGCGCGAGGAATTGGATCTAGCTCTTGGGGCGGCTCGTGACGCTTATCGTCATCGGGACGCGGCTCTGGAAACGTTGACGGATCGCGAACTTACGATCACCAAATTCCGCGAGCTCACTCATCAGATGCAAGAGCAATGTTTGCAATTGCAGCAGCGCGTGCAATCGACAGAGACCTCTAAATTCGGAATGGGAAGCGCGGAACAGCAATTGGCAGAGATTTTAGATTTTCAAAAGACGTTCGCCGAAACGCGCGCACAAACGAAAGCGGTCGATCTCGAGCTGCGGCGGTTGGAAGCCGAAGAAGCCCGGAATCACGTGGCCTACTTATTGTCCTTTATGCCTCCCGCGTTCTTGGCTCGCGGTGGGGATCACGATGCTATCCTAACGCTTCTTCTTATACCAAGAATAATACAGAAGACGGAAATACTTATATCGCAAGTACGAGACAAGTATAGATCGTTGGATAAGATCGACAGAGCGGCTGTGGTGAAAGGTCATTCGGTGGCACAGTACACCTTCAGATCGCATCTGTGCTCGTATATGTATGCGTTACAGACTTTCCTCGGTTGTTTCGAATCGGCCTTGAGCGTTTGTACTCCGGAAATGTTACTAAAAGTTGGAGCGGCTTATCCGGAAATGGCTGCACAGGAGAAATCATTGGACTCTCTGATTGAGCTGACCAAAAGAGATCAATTGGATGAAAATCTACCGATGGATGCTATTGAAAAGTGTTGCGGATACTTCTGTACTATGTTTTCCGTACTGTTTGGAGAGTCCATCAACCAAGCTCGCTTGATAGTTAACGGCACAAGAATGCTGGATTCTGCATGCGATGCTATCATGACCGATGCAGCGGCGATCAAAACGTTAATCGAAGGAGATGGCGGTGATATAGGCCTTCTCTGTCAGCACGCGGAAACGACATGCGAAGTGATACAACAACACTTGAAATCAGCCAGAAGACGTGTGTTGACCGATCATGCTGCTGTAAGACACACTGCGGAATCGAAATTAGGATTGGATAAGGATTCCAGCGAACAAATGTTTACATGTTATCAGCATGCAGTGAAGATCGTGAAAACGTTCCAAACATTGCTGAAGAGCGCTGTGCAAGCAATTATAATGAACGGCGACTTGGACACGGGACTTGGCGCGGATCAATTGAAGAACATGACTTCTATAGCGTGTGAAAAGGTTTACGATACCGAAGATATAGGGCCTGTAGCTACGGTCAAGGGGAGTTTGAGGGTCATTCAACAGTTGGCGGCCAATTTGGCACAAAAGATGGCCGAATGTGAAAACGAACTGGCGATAAGCGGACACCTGTCGCAAAAACAAGAACAAGGCGCGGAGAACGAATCCTTGATGCCTATTAAGATAAGAGCACAAGCGGCAAGAAAAGAAGCCGAAGAAACAAAGGTGCTCAGTAGGAAATTGGAAGCCAGGGACAGCGATATTCTCGAAGCAAGATTAGCTCTTAGAGAAAAACAAAACGAATTATGCGAAATGATCTTAAGAAAGGATGTTGTGGAAAAGAAGCTTGCGACGCAACAACACGAGCATGAATTGAACGTAGAAAAGTTGAAGAGAAAATTGGAAGAAGCTCAGAATCAACTGAAGCGAAAAGAAAAAGAATTCGAAGAAACGATGGATCATCTTCAGACAGACATCGACAGTTTGGAAAGCGAGAGAGGCCAGCTCAAAGAGAAATTGAAATTTGTTGGAAAGAAGACGATGATGTCTGCATCTGGAACAGACAATATGGCTGGAAATGCTACAGTGACATCAAATACTCAATCGATGGACAATAAATCTTTGATGCAAGAAATAAGTGCTCTCAGGGAAGCCTTGAAGAATGAAAATCAGCAAAAGAAGAAATTAATGTATAACTCATTGCGTATAAAATTAGAAAGTTTGGATCCAATAACGCTTCCATCAAAATCACGACCGGTCGATGTAAAAATGCAAGAACTGAAACAGAAGACTTACAATCTTACCAAAGTGAGTTGTGGGATTGATATGAATCGTTTGAAAAATATTCTCTTACACTTCTCTAAATCTGTAATCAAATTCTGTTCTGATGTTTAGGATATTAAACAAGTTATGATGTTCCCCATCGTTCCTGATTTAACACGTAAGAAGACATCAGATTTAGAAGGTCCAGTCTTAGAAAAGGCGATGCCAGTTTATCAATTGCTACAACGTCAGATAGTTATGAGAGAATTAAAAGAAAGAGCCGATCAGCTAGTGGTATGCCATTAATTACTAAAAGTAACATTATATTCATATTTAATTCCAATACAAAAATATTTGACATCGTTTCTAGGGTGAAGTTCGCGAAGAAATTGTAAAGAGAACGGCGGGAGGAATGGCCGAAGCGAATTTTGCAGTATTTCCAAATCGCGAAATGGCAGCAGCAATGCAGGAAAAGAAATTGCTTGCTGCGGAAGTCACGATTCCTCATAACGGCCCGGAACAAGTTTTCACTGTCAATGTCGGAACACAGGAACTTAGGAAAATTCATACTTTATTGTGTTATTAACTGTCAGTTTCTAGCCCTTAATTTTCATATTAAGTATCTAGTGCGACAAAATATGCTACCACAAAAACTGAGTGGTATACAAGTGCAAAGTATTGCTTTATAGCTTTTGTTTTTAGACATTAGACGATACAGATTTTTGTTATATTTGCATACGTTTAATCGACTTTGTACAGGAAAAAAAAAAACGTAATTAATTACGAATTTGCGCCCGATGAAAGGAACAGATTAAATCTAGTGATAATGTAACTTTAGAGCGTGAAGATTTTATTTATTTCCGTCTGGCTACAGCATGATGACCGGCGCACCATGGCTAGTAGACTGCAGCATTTTATTATTATTAACAATTTGAACGATAATGTTCAACGCCTTCGTGGCTCTTCTGTATATTTTTTATGAATTTGTCAAATATATGACTTAAAAATCCTTTACATAATCCCGTGTGTCGAAAATATCACAACAGAAATTAACTGCTTTTTCTCGAGAGCAGTCATATCGTCCACTTTTAACAATCGACTGTTACCATTTTGAGTAACGATAATTGTGTATTGCCATCAAACTAACACTTAATGAAATAGAATACAGACGCTATAATACAATGTTTCAGTTTTTATTTATAGCGATTAAAGGAGCAATAAACTGTTGATGTGTTTTTCATTATTTATGAAATAACGTATGCCTTAATTACTGTCACAATTTTATTATACATACACATGTATATATGTATACACACATGTAAATCATTATCTGTATATATACATATACACATACCAAATAGTAATAAGTGCATATATCATTAATTATTCATTAACTTACTCGTTCATTCATTCTCACTGCATGGTAATACACACTTTTACTCATTCATTTTGTATTTTTCGTTTCCCTCTTTCGTAATAATAATAATAATCATAATAATAATAATGATGGTGATAATAATAATAATAATTAACCATACACTCACTCAAAGATATTTAATGCTTATATCTCTTTTTCCTTAATCACTGCCAAAAATTTCATGAAACAAGTTGTCCGTTCAAACAATTATCCTTGAATCGTAAATCGTGCTAAGGCTGACCGGACGTTTCCTTTAGAATGTTTTTCACAATAAGGACATGATGAGTTAACAATGACCGATTACACATCTTTTTGGAAGTAATGCTTGGAACATGGACACGAATATTGGCGCAACTAGTATGGTCAATGTGAACGAAAACTTTCAGTGACAGAAATAAGTCTTCTCGAACTTCTTTCCGATCGATATATGTAACGTGACTTCGCGTGAGAGGACTCATTATACGTATTAACAATTGATTGATCGATCAATTATGGATCTAAGTCACGTGTTATAAACATCGAAGCAATAGCACGGAGAATACCACTGCACAGTCTCTTCCATTAAAACTATACGGAAGAAATCCTTTGGCTGAATCTGGATACAGGATTACTTTTTTAATCAAAATAATGACTTATTTATGTATTAAATTTTTTCACAATTTTATTTATTCGACTAAAAGGCAAGCCTGTAGTCCATCTCCAGTACAAACAAAGTCTGTTTAATTTTGTTTACTATAATCGACTAAACATACTCACAGAAAGAAAGAGAGCAAGCAATGAATTTTCTCAGGACAAACTCAACGTAATTTGTTCATTTCTTAATCGATACAACGTATCTAAAAATTAAATTGTTGCCTTAACATTAACATACTTTAATATTACTTGTCAGTATTTAATTCTGAGATACTGCCACTTACTCGTATATACGCGGGTATACGTCTATGTGTTACGTTCTGTATATATATGTATGTATGTACATACATGCACACACATATATACATATTTATATAATATATATATGTGTATATATATATATGTATATAAAAGAAAATGTTATCAGGGTCAATAATATCAAAGGAAAATCTTTGATACTGTTGACATGGTAGCTTATGTAAGAAAAATATTAACATTTCTCTCAAAGTTTCAAACGTTATATTTATACTATATTGTACTGAAAATAAAACAAAAATCGGGAAGCAACAAACTGTATTAATTTTTCACTACATTTATTTATATAATTTCTCCCATACACTCAGATAATCATTCACTCGTTTTTCACATAGTTTCTTTTTCTATTTGCAGAATAGATATAATGTTTAAGAATGGTCAAAACGTTCTCTCTTTCTTTCTATGAAAATTATATGTCGAATTTTCGATTAAATCACACGTTACGTCGTACGTGTACTCTTTCACAAAGGTCTTCGAAACATCAAAACCTTTATTTCAATTATTATCAACGGTGAATTAAATAGATAATTACAAAATAAGAACAAGCCACCTCTGGCTGATCTCATTTGGATTTTAAGCCCAAAGAGGTGGATCAACCAAAACTCTAAGCACTGACAATACACTGAAGTTTCACTGATCAGTGAATTCAGAAATGTGTATCTGTGGCATTGTCCTTTACTATGTATGATACGCTTGTAATCGCAAAACTCTTCCATTGTGTCAACTTAGAAGATTGATTGATTTGACTCTTTGCATGGTATTCGTACAAAGTCGTGTACCTGATCTTGGGCACTAGCGACTGCAAATAGGATTGATGCAACGACAAGTGATTATAGTCTTAACGTGCTCCTGAAACAAACAGTAAATTATACATTATAACAATTAGACAATCGAATGACACAAATATCACTACGAAAACAGACACTAATATCGAAAATAGAAGCTACGATAGATTTTAATATTACACTCGATTATACATTATATAATTGTTATGTAATGTTTTACATAGCTATCCGTGTAACGATCCGAGTTATTGTTACATGTACAAAGCACAATATTTAAAATATATAGTATCGTTTGAAACAAAGAAACAATACCTGTTTGAGGGCTGGGCTGAGCGGGAGGCTGGCCTTGAGCTTGTTGCCCTATCACCGCATTAGTTTGGCCAGAAGTACCTACTACAACTCCTGGGCTAATCACCTGAGGTGATTTTTGTTTTAACATCGTCCAGTCAAATGTGTAGTCATATTGATGATTTAACGTGCGGAAAAGTATACGGAAAAGTTGACGAAGATACATGTAATCTGGACTTTCTTCGAAACGTAAACCACGCGTATAATTTAAATACATGGCGAATTCGGCGGGAAATCCCTGTGTATGAAAATATATAGAATTTTAACATTGTACTGTGTTTTTAACCGAAAACGTTTCGATAAGCACAAACATAGAACATACCTTACATAAAACTTCTACAGGCGTGGACATCTTCTTTTCACTTATTTTTTCGTATTTCTGCTTTTTAGTAGCAGCTTTAAGACCTTGCCAGGGCAAAGATCCTCGATTGAAATACATAAGCACATAACCGAGCGATTCCATATCATCACGACGACTCTGTTCTATTCCAAGGTGTGCATTAATCGAAGCGTACCTTGCCGTGCCGGTCAAATTCTTGTCTTCTCGATACACTATATGCATTCTGGTACGAGTATCTCTATACTTTTTAGCTAATCCAAAATCAATAAGAAACAGCTGAAATTTTGCAAATTACCAACATCATTTTTCACTAAAGAGTCATAGACACTCGTTTAAGCGTTTAAAATAATACCTTATTACAGTGACGACCAATGCCCATTAAAAAATTATCTGGCTTGATATCTCTGTGAATAAAATGTTTACAATGTACAAATTCAATCCTACCAATCATTTGATCTGCCAACATTAAGACCGTTTTAATCGTAAACCTTCTTGAACAAAAAGTGAAGAGGTCTTCGAGAGACGGACCCAGAAGGTCCATAACAAGTACATTGTAGTCTCTTTCCTGTCCATACCTATATTTAACAACAAAATAGATATTAACAAACTCTGTACAATGCTAGAAAAGTCCGTTCAATTTTGAAGTTTAATTTATTTCAATTCACGCTTACGAATTTATTTTCCATTAAATATTAATGTTTATATTTTATAAAATGCAACTCTAGCGAATCAAAGCAATATGTGAAAAATAATAATTACCAACGTATATGAGGTATCCCTACACCACCATGTAAAATTTTGTATAACTTTGATTCGTATAAGAGTTGTGGATGCCGGGCTCGTATGCTTTCCAATTTAACAGCAACTTCCTAAGATAACATAAATACATATAAATTAATCCATTATGAAAGAAATTTTATGTATTTGTATAGAATGTACCGAATATTGTCCATGTTCTTGTACATTGTACTTTATCTATATAGAATTGTTTGCATGTACCATAATCTACCAAATAAGTTTAATTTCTTTTATCTTGCATAACTGAATTTTGTTCATTATTTAAACACTGTTGTATACAAAGGAAAGTCAGTTTTTGTTGAGAAAATGATTAGATTGGTATATCTTAACTAAGCAATTATGAGTCACAATGTATACATTAAAAACAAATTTCAACATTTCATCCATCATGTTTTTTTACATCATGATGTTTTTAATATTTAAAACTTACCAATACACACTTACCTATACACATATTTTATCCAAAATATAAACATATTGTTTAGCAATACATGAAACTACTTTGAACATTTTATTATTTTTATTCTATTATTACTCATGCAATTTTGGTAACTTGTATCGTACAATTTTATCTTTAAACAATGCGGTACTCGATGGATAAAATTTTTTAACAGATGTGCGACATTATAATATATTGTGATACATATGCAAGCGTGAAATATAATTACAAAGGTAAATAAAAATCTTTTTGTCAAATAATAAAAACAATTCTATAAATAACTGTTCTTTGTAATAGAGCAGTCACAACTGTATAAATATATGTTTCTGATGATCATTTGAACATTATTACAAATATGTATCCGAATTATAAACATTTATCTGTGATCGACGATTATATCATTTAAACATTGTTTACAACAATATTGTGACTTGTATATAGAGGTTAATGGTATTGCAAAAAACTCAGTAAATGTTAATACGTAGATAGAACTGTACGCGAGAACATCGAAAATAATTCGTAGCAACGATCATGTAAACATAACTTTATTAGAACGAATAGTTACTGCTTGTGGATTTTCTAGGAGGAAACAACAGATAGTTCGTGTAACCAACAACATAATATTGTGGAAACATATTTCGTAAGAAAGTTTAATAGCGATGTTAGAAAAATATTTCTTCGTAGTACACATCCGACAAAAATGCTCGTTAAAAAGGAGGTTTTCCAGGAAACAAAAAGAAACTGGGAAATGCAATAAGGAAGGCATGCTGGTACAGATCGTGTCGCACGAAACGGTACTCCTTACCTCACCACTCCTTACCTCACCACCCCTTACCTCGCCATTAGAGATGTTGATACCGAGATATATGTCGCCGAAGGATCCTGAGCCGATCTTCCTCATGAGCCTGTATTTGCCGCCCACGAAAAAGTCATTTTTTGCTACTGACATCGCCAACTGTAACGACATTATTACTTTTGGCTTTTCAATTTCTGTCTTCCCCCCGCTAGAACCGACGGCGGACCTCTGTGACTTGGCTTACGTCGGAATCAAACCTAATTTAAATTACTGAGCGTACCCGCTGCGAATAAGCCATTTGCTGGCAAATATGACGTCGTCGAGTCTTCTTCAAGCCGAATCGATGGTGGATTTACTCTTCGTTAAAAAATATGTTCAGGAAACCGTAGCCAAAAAGTCACACTCTTTGGCTGGCACAACAAAACCCCACTAACACGCCGACATATTCCCTTTCGCTAGAGGCACGAGAGCGACTGACGTTGCGGAAACGATGCGTCACGGCGGGCGTCGTTCAAATCAGATTCCTTATCAACGGATCGTCATCGATTAAGCGCGATAGCTTTTCGTTCGAGTCCCCTAGAAATCTTTTATTTTAATAATCGAGACAAATTTAATCCGGTCGTGGCACGGATATAGAACCGTGACGAAATTTAATAGCAATGAAGTGACTCGCTTGACTCACAGTACTAGATTTTCTTCAGGAACGTATCAATGTTCGTTATGGTTTCTCCGGAGAACAATTGTATTTATTATGGTGACGTTTATAAATAATACAATACATTATTAAAATTTAATTTTTCCACCTTGACGGTTCTTTGAAACATGTTATTCGATCTCGTAAGCTGATGTCGATTGTTTTAAAACTGAGTGAAAGAATAGAAGACTACAGGGAATAAGTAGGGATTTTCTACTAATTTCGTTTATATCTTGGACGAAAATTCATAGAGTTCTAAAGTGTACATTTACAAATTTGAAAAAGTTTCAGTTTTTCTCTTGCTTGAGAATGAAATTGTTTATCGTCGACTGTAATAAATCATCGAATTTTTAATATTTTATACACAAAATTATTAATACAGCAGCCGAAAATTAGAAAATTGTAAAATATTTAGGAAACGTTGGAAATATTCTGAAGTGATAAACATAATTTTCATTATGCGTATGTTTAATGCTTTATATGTAATATGGGTCAAACGTGTCATCGCATTTTAAACGATTTGTCCTTTCGTATAGATACGGTACTGATGTACCGGAACCTTGTACTACTTATTAGAACTGATATAAAATGTCTTTTGTATATATAAGACGATTTATCATTTTTTAAACGTTTATTGTTTCAAGCAGAAAAAAAATCCGAACGAAAGTCGTTGTAAATACTTCTTCGTTTATAAACAATAAGAAAGATACGTACATATATGGCAATTTATAATTTTGTAGTTTTCAGCGACACCTAAACTGGTGATAGAAATACGTTACTTTACGAGAATTTTTTTTGCCGCGCAATTGTTGTATGTAATTAATGTTTTATTGAGTTGCGAACGATCAATGGCCATTTCTTTGCGAAATACAATACGATTGTCATCACCGATATTTACGAAATATGTTTATATAAACACGAAAAGTTGTAACAAACGATTCATCATGACGAGCCGATCAAAACTTGAAAAGGTTTTACAAGGTCTTGAAAAGAATCCCTATTTCGATAAGTATGCTGACAAAATAGCGAAATCTCAGAAAGTTAGTCCGGAAGAATTTTCGCAGCGTGTCGAAAATGAAGAGAAGAAACAGCAGAGAAAGAAAGGTACATAACCTATACGGTATTTAGGAATGTTTAACAATTAAACGATTTGTGTTCAGATATTACAATGTATAAAATATTTTATTCTTTTTATTTACACATTATATATAAGAAAAAATAAAAATATCGAAATAGATCAGTAACAGCACATTAGTTTAAAAGACAGTATATTATTTGCGAACAGAATTTATCTCTAATAATTAGTTTTAAATATTGTACATCAATTTGATGTTTTTGATGTTCATGTTATTTAATTGAAGAGAAACAAGAACAAGAGTGTAAGTTTTATCAAAGTCAAGCAAAACCACAGTTGGATCAAAGCAAACAATCTCAAAAAGCACAATTAAATAGTATTATGAAAGTGGATATGATTCAGGATAAAACAAAGGAAGAGATTATAAATATTTGGAAAGATTATCACAAACAAAAGGATTATATATGCGGGGTATTGACGCCGGGTCAATTTGATAAAATGTTCGAACGTGGGAAAGATTATCCTACATTTTTATTGCCTTTACCTAGAAAACAAGGATATGAATTTATTGTCAGCCAGTTCTTTGGATTGGAGATTCATATGACACCACTTTTATGGTATCAGGCACATAAAGAAAATGCACCAGAATGTTTAACTATGTTGCATTACACAGAACTTAGAGAGAATAAAGATGTTGTACTTATGAGAGGTGAATTTGATACAAAAACCATCAGTGCGCAAGAAGCACAATGCTTAGCGAATGAATTACAACTGTATTATTGTACAGATAATCCTCAAAGATTACAGTTATTAGAAACATTTACTAATAAACCAGATCAATTCAAACATATGGATCTTATAGCACAGTTAGAAACAATACAACTTGAATTAAATACTAATTGAATATTTATCTGTAAACATTGTAATTATTCTTTATGTCATGTTAACCATATAATAAATTTGTATGTAGTTCTATTAAAATAAATTAGTGAGAAATGAAAGATATATATGATGTTATTTATTTAAAAATTAAATGGCATTGCTATGATTTTGATATTAATTTACATGTTTCACACTTTATCATCTTGTAATTAATTCTAATTGCAGATAATTTTGAATTATAGTTTCAGTCCATTTAGAAAGGTTTTATACACAATCTTCGTGGTCTTCTCCATTTTTGAATATAAAAGTACAACCATTATGGGCTCATATTAAAAAGAACAATTTCAGTGACCATGCGCCTAAGAACATGTACATCACAACACCCATATTTTATGTTAATGCTGGTACGTGTTTATAAATACAGAAACATTTGCCTTGCATATAAAAATATATACATATTTAGATATTCTTTACTGAAACATGCTGATTTCTATTTTCCCTATCTTTAGGACCACATATTGGACATCTTTATACCGCAGCTTTGGCAGATGCTATAGCTAGATTTAATTCTATGCTAGGGCATTCTGTATTTCTGTGCACAGGTACAGATGAACATGGTACTAAAGTTGAAAATGCCGCACGTGCAGCAACTTTACCAACGTCTGAATATTGTACTAAAATTTCGGGGGAATTTCTAAAAATGTGTGACATTTTTCAAGTTCAATATTCAGAATTTATTAGAACGACTGAAGAACGACATCAAAATGCGGTTCATCATTTTTGGGTTGTTAAATTAATAAAATAAATAAATTAAATAAATTAATAAAAATGATAGAGGCGTAGAAAGAAAATGAAAAACTTTCAGAATCATTTAGACGAAAGGGGACACATTTACATGGGAAAATATGCTGGTTGGTATAGCGTATCGGACGAAACTTTTATTTCGGATGCAGAAGTAATACAAAAGAAAGATATTACTGGCATAAAATATATGACTGAATCAGGAAATCCTGTAGAGTGGACGGAAGAAGACAGTTACAAATTTCGGCTTACTTCTTTTCAAGATGATTTAAAACATTGGCTGAAAGATGGTATATCTATTTACAACGTCTTTGATTTAATGAATTTGTTTTTATTGAAGAAAGTCGTTATTTTAATATACAAAACTGTATTTAGAAAATACAGTACAACCGGCAATGTATCATAAAATTTTATCTACTTGGATTGAAGAAGGTCTACAAGACATAAGTATTTCTAGACCTATTAGCAGAGTGCCCTGGGCAATTCCTGTTCCTTCTGATAAATCTCATACAATATATGTATGGTTTGATGCATTGGTAAATTATTTAACTGCAATAGGATATCCAAATAGTTTCTCGAGTCAATTTTGGCCGCCGACTGTGCAAGTAATTGTCTTTATTTTATTCTAATGTAAAACAGCATTCAAAGTTCAATGGAAATCATTGTTAAAATCTACGAATATTTATAAACATAGGTTGTAGGAAAAGATATATTAAAATTCCATGGCATATTGTGGCCAGCATTTTTGATGGCTGCTGGCCTTGAGCCACCAAAGAAACTTTTATGTCATGGACATTGGACTATCAATGATCTGAAAATGTCAAAATTTAAAAGAAATGTAATTTCTCCGTTCGAAGCCAAGGATCATTATACACCGGATGGTTTAAGATACTATCTCTTGCGACAAGCGGTACTACATTCGAATGCTAGTAAGACAAATGATTTGTAGCATTTTAATATGTAATATGTATTTACTTAAAGACGTTTTCATTTTGATGTTTGATACGTTTTTTCCTGTTTGCAGATTACAATGTTGGAAAAATTGAGAATATATTAAATAATGAGCTTGCCGGCGTTTTCGGAAATTTACTTCATCGATGTTTGAGTAAAGCTATTAATCCAAAAAGAATAATACCTGACCCAACCACATCTATAAGCATTTTAAAATCTGAAATAGCTCTTGCAAACATAAAGGTTCTGGAAGAAATAAGCGATCTAACCAGAACATTGTATGAGGAATGTCATTTGTGTCATGTAGTAGATGCTGTCATGAATCTGTTACGTATAACAAATCGAATGTTCGATTACTATCATCCATGGCATTTATGCAAATCTGTTAAACTTGACTCGATTAAAGAACTCGAAGCTGTGCTATCCCTTAGTATAGAAAGCGTACGGGTGGCTGCTATAATATTACATCCAATTATACCAAGACTGACTTCTAATCTCCTAGATACTCTTCAAATTTCGAAAGAAAATCGTACTTGGGAAGATACGAAACCGCTTCATGTAAGAAATTCTTTAAATGGAGCAGAACGTATTATTTCACGGAACGAAGTATTATTTAAGAAAGTAAGAAATGAAACGTACATTTAGTGGAGTATTTAATACTAATCGGGTGTAGATCGATGGAGGATTAGGTTGCAATAAAACATTTCAAATTTAACACCCGTGTGGAAGTCTTACGCTAATATATTTACAGAGAACGGTCATTCAAACATATCATTAGTATACATCGACATCGTGCACGTGTCACTCCGACAAGGGAGACTTAGTCGTTTAATGGCCTCTTTTTAATTTACTACGATATATATTCCTAACATCCGCTTCTCTCTCGTCGGAATGCAATGCACTTTGCATCGCAGATATTAGTAGATGTATGGAAGAGGCTCGACGAAACATCGTGAGCGTCGGTAGCGTTTCGCGAGGATTTCTTTCGTTTGGAATATATGACGCAGATTCGAGTTAGATTCGACGGGTTGCACTACGATTTTGCGACACGTTAGCACCTAAACGAAACATCGCTTAAAATGCACAAGATACGTAGATCGCGACTTGGTGTCCCGTCAAATAGAAAAATAAATAAATGACTATTTACAAGATGGAAAATGAATCTGTGCGGATTTAACCGCGATTCTAATACTAATAAGCTACGTTTCGACAGACGTTACTATTAGTGTTTCGCGTAACATCTAACTTTACGTCGTAGATGCGCTATCAACATGATTTCATAATTACAATTGCTTTATGAGAACGTATTCTAAGTACTATGCTCGAATTTCTCTACGAACAAATCTGTTTTTGTATGCTTTTAGTTTTAAATCGATATCTTCCTGTTGAGTTTCTAGACAGCTCGCGTTCATTTCATTTTTTTTTCTTCTTATTGTGGGTGGATTATGTCTCGTGGATATGTTTTGAACTACCTCTTGGTGATTGTCTTTAATTTTCTTCTTAATCGATCGCCTGTATCGACAAGTTGTATCTTTTTTTCATCGTTGGTGGATAAAAAATACTGAGTAAAAAAATTCATACGGAATTCTCGTCGGTCATTCTAAGTCATAATTCGTGTCAATTTAATTTTTTAACACCGAAACGGAGAGACTGGGACAACGTTTGAACTTTTCCTAATACGTTCGATATGTAGATTCTTCGATTGCTTAATACGATATGATAAACATAGTCTACCAGTTAATACAGCACAAAAGGAGATAATTCATCGTTAAAAAAGCCAATTAAAAATGTAGAACAAAACTGTCGTACGAGCTCTTGCTTTCGAGGAAATCAATTTAGAAATGTGAAAAATTCGAGATTTGAAGCTTTTGCGACAGGATTTAATGTTAGCATCCGAATGGATAAAATATCCACATTTTTTTTCAGGCCCAATTTGCATCGCATGGTCCTTAGAGGTCGCCCCCCCTTCCCATCGCTTTGAAAAATACTGCCATATTGCATGCAGACATAAGAGACACCTGTCGTGCAATTTCAAAGCCCGAAATTTTATCAAGCATGCACGCACGTCACGCATTTTACAAATCTATTTTCTTGAAAATAAAGGTTTGTAGACAAATATTTTATTCTAGATTTGGAATTTGACTTTTTACGAAGAATCCTCTTTCGGATTGTATCATGTACGTTTTTGAACACTATGCATATATCTATATTAGGGTCTGTTTTGTTTCCGAATGATACGATAAATCGGTGGTCGTGTTATTGCGTTAGAGTATTTATAAAGGAAAAGTTCAATAACGTACTCTGCATTTCGAGAAAATTTCACGGATTCTGTAATATCTTGTTTGAATAATTAAACGATAAATTTTATCGTTCGTGTTAACGTTTACATTTATAACTGCTGTTCTAAACGTTTAATTAAATTTTTGTCAGTTGGTAGAGTACAAGCGGCGTTCGACTCCTTAATAGGGACTTTGAAACATTGCACGCGAATGTTTTAACGTACAAAACTAACGACCCGGAAGGACAACGGTGAGTTAATATGATTAAACATTCCAGACTTGATATATTGTTGTGTATTATGATAATGCCCCTAGAAAATGATTGGAATTTTCAAACAGTTTACTATTACTTCTTATTACGATTCGTCTGAATGTAATTTTAGGGGGCATACTTTGATTCGTATTATCAGGCACGGATTAAGGGAAGAGGTTAAAGCCACGGGCCCTTATTTTTTCATATAATGAAATAAATGTTTACAAACATTCACTTTTACTTTGTTCAATAAATTAAATAATTTTTTAAATATTGATTCTAACATACGTATATAAATGACTTGGAGGATAAAGCAGGACGAGACAATTTTTAAAGACAACGCTTTCTCCTTTAAAGATATCTGCGAATCCTGTTATCTTTCAGATCTGGGCCTCGAAAGCCTTAATCCGGCCTTAGATTATCTGTGACGTTGTTTAGGTTGTAAACGATACAGCGGCTTGTAAAGGGTCGAACGACCGCGGTGAAAAATTGTTAGGTACAGTTGTTCGCGAGATTCCGAGAATGGGAGACCGAGGGCGCGCTTCAGCGTTTTCGCGCGTAAACAGCGTTCGATAGGAAGATCGTTAAATCTGAAAGAGAAACTCGAGTCGAATTATATCGCGCTCACGATAGTGTCGCGATGTTTTTGCGCCATTATTCCTACATGACAACTGTCCGCGCTCGATCGCGGGCTAATATTACATTCGATCATGGATCCGTTTCGTTTTTGGACTACCACAGATCGAAATTCTCCGCACTCGCTGGTTGACGGTTGGTTCCCTCGGGCGCGGGCACCCTTCGTGAGGATCCTCTTGAATGCTTCTCGGAATTCTGTGTTGAAGATGCTGTAGATGATCGGGTTGAAGGCCGAGTTGCTGTAGCCCAGCCAAGTGAGTACCTATTACACATTCATTTTCTTAGTTTTCTTTTCTCTTTCCAAATCGAAACGTGACGCTAAGAGCCTCTCGGAAACAAGACATCGGTTTTCTCATTAAGGTCATTAAGGTACAACGTATCGACCATAGGTAGATATGATCGAATATTGTAAACGAAAGAAATATTAACATAAGTATGTAACGCGTATCAAAAGTTACCTAACCTAGATTTCGATATATTAAATATCGTTACAAACTTCCTTACCGACTAAGTTTCGTACCGTTAGAATAACCTGTATGTGTTTGTGGTTTCGAATGTCTCTGATAACGATGTCTAATGGTGTCGTTTAGTGAAAAGAGATGGGGTACGCGTACGATATTGTTCGATTTCGGCTCGTAGCGTGCTTGTTTTCCGTTCGAAGTGATATTCAGAGAGTTTCGTACTTGGAACGTCCGACCTGATATGCAGCTCTTGCAGTACGCGGCTACGATATTTACGCAGAAAAAAGGTACCCAGCATATTAAGAAAACGCCCATAATGACGCCCACGGTGATCGCGGCCTTGTGATCGGACACGTGATAAGGGCTCGTCGGCTTCGTCTTTGTCTGCGGTTTCGGTGGCTTGTTGCGAGTGCTCTTCGCGCGAAAGCTCTTGGCCATTGAGGTGTCCGGTAGCTTCGTCACTGCCCGGATGCTTTTCACGTGTTTCTGCGCGTAGCAATAGAGCCTGAAAGCACAGGCACGTTGATTTTTCCAAAAAACGTCTCTTTCATATCGGTAGCTTCGCTAAGAAACTTCATAATTTCTCTATACAAGGCATATACGTAGAGTGATGATACTTGGGGTTAAAGTTACAATGTTGTTACGCCATTTTGTTTGCACGACGGTGTGCTACGTCTTTAAGAAATTACTCAAAATTTACCTGCAATAAATTCCCAGCATTACGATGCAGGGCACGTAAAAAGATATGGAAGAGGATACCACCGCGTAAGTGGGTGTAAGTTCTAAGGTGCACGCGGGGTGTTCCTGAAAGATAAAACGATCGATATGTAGATGGAAAGTCGCTTAACAAATGGTGTACCGTTTATATCTTGTTCGCGAAGAATATTTTTGGGGTTTTGGAACGTGTAGTCGTACCTCTATCTCGTCATGTACGGGTTCGTTTGCTCGGTGAAGGCCTAGGCTGATCGGTACGAACGATATGAGTATCGCGAGCAGCCAAACGACGACGATTCCAGCAACCGCGACTCTTCTCGTCACCCAACGACCGTACCTGTTTGCAAAATAATACAAAATTCTTTTTTAGACACTGCAATTTCGGTTTATATGAGATTTCAAAAGACACGATGGAAAAATATCGGTACAATACCGGTTTTACTGTAAAAATGGACTTTGAAAGTTGGAGTATTATAAAGGCGATGTATGCTTGCCTGAGAGGGTCCTTGATGTGTATGTAACGATCGAGAGAAATCGCGCAGAGATTCAAAATGGAGGCAGTGCTGCACATAACGTCGAAGGCGATCCAGGTGTCGCAGAATCTCTGACCGAAGACCCAGTAGCCGAGGAGGTCGTTGACCCCGGCGAAAGTCATCACCAGGCAACCGACGAAGAGGTCGGCGATCGCGAGGGAGGCCAGGAACAGATTCCCTATCCTCCGTAAGCCGCGATCCGTGTAAATTGCCACGCAGACGAGGATGTTGCCCGCGACGGATAAAAATATCAAGATCAGGAAGAGGAATCCTGGAAGAATCGGACGAACAAAGTGGAATAGAATCGATGGAGGTTGCTCTAATATCGTTCACCCCTCGAAAAGCCTCCACGAACAGAGTCAAAGGACGAATTGCTTTTCGCGGGCATCCGAATATCGTGAAATACGTTCCAGACACGAGATATCGAATCGGTTCATATAAATCAGAAACGGGACCCTTGGAACGTGAGTTATCGGATCCAGGTAGATAAGATGGATACTCGGGAGATTGGTAGAAACGGGCTTGGGGAACCGAAATTGTCGGATACCGGGCGAAACGAGTAAACAAATTGGTCGATGAGCGCGAGAAATGGGCGAAAAAGCTTGGAAAAGTGACGCGAAAAGTAAGAGACGACGAGGAATGGAGTAGACGTTGAAACAGGACGAGGATCGGGGGATTGGACAAGCTTAGATCAAAGTTTTCGAGCGTAGGGCCTCCCAGAGGGTTGTCTTCGAGGGGCGAGTCGCGATCGATCAAATGGGAAGTTTAGCGAACCAACTAGAAGCACCGACAACAGCGAGAAAGCGTCTTCAGGCAGATCTTCTTCCCCGTCTGTCAGGTTATTCTGTAAACAGACAAAGGGATTTCATGAATGCGTTAAGCTTTCCGATATTCTCTAATGGTCTGACCGAAACATTTCATTTCTCCTTCGGTCGGCTACTTGGAAAAACATTCTACAGACTTTTCCGATCGAAATAGCACTCAAGCGGGTATTCAACACGAATGCGATTCGAAACTAAAAATCCTATAATGGTGATTCGTTGCAATTGAAGATAAATATTGTTTATTACAAATATCGTTTTTTTTGCTATTAGGTTGTCCTACATGTTCAGTGTCGAGTTTTGTACTACAACTTAAAGCAATATTTTCAACAGTAATGGAATTTTATGAAAGGCGTGGTTACAAAACTTCTTTGATTTTTTATTAAAATGTAGTTGAACGCTTTTCAGTAAAACCTTGACATTTTAAAATTGTTTACCTAATATACTAATACGCCTGGAGATTCTTGTATTTTATTTCAAAATATTTCGGAAACATTTCTGGCCACACAGTATATTTTCGGTAAAGAATTTTTTTCTCGAAAGTACGTAGGATTTCGGGGGTATGTGTATTCACCAAAAATTATTGTAATTGACCCCCGCAACTAAAAATAATTTTTTTAGAACGATTTGAAATTTTTCAATTTTGTCGAAAAATTTCAAATCTACTCGAATTTTTTTCTCGTAAGAGGGTAGGATATCGGGGGTATGTCTATTGACCAAAAATTATTGCAATAGACCCCTGCAACTAAAAATAATTTTTTTAGAACGATTTGAAATTTTTTAATTTTGTCGAAAAATTTCACACTTACTCGAATTTTTTTCTCGTAAGTGGGTAGGATTTCGGGGGTATGTGTATTCACCAAAAATTATTGTAATTGACCCCCGCAACTAAAAATAATTTTTTTAGAACGATTTGAAATTTTTCAATTTTGTCGAAAAATTTCAAATCTACTCGAATTTTTTTCTCGTAAGAGGGTAGGATATCGGGGGTATGTCTATTGACCAAAAATTATTGCAATAGACCCCTGCAACTAAAAATAATTTTTTTGGAACGATTTGAAATTTTTCAATTTTGTCGAAAAATTTCAAATCTACTCGAATTTTTTTCTCGTAAGAGGGTAGGATATCGGGGGTATGTCTATTGACCAAAAATGATTGCAATTGACCCCCGGAACTAAAAATAATTTTTTTAGAACGATTTGAAATTTTTCAATTTTGTCGAAAAATTTCACACCTACTCGAATTTTTTTCTCGTAAGTGGGTAGGATTTCGGGGGTATGTGTATTCAACAAAAATTATTGTAATTAACCCCCGCAACCGAAAATAATTTTTTCGGAATGATTTGATATTTTTTAATTTAATTTTTTATTTTGGTCTCTACAATCTCCCATTCAAATTTTTCCCAGGGGTAGCCGAGCACCCTGTATAAACGGATTCTAACCACGCGATTTAATCTTTTGTTCCCGACATTGCGAAAGCATCGCGTATCATTCTTTCGCGCTGGATGCTCGAAGTCGCTCGAAAGAAGAGAATTTTCGATCGTTGCACGCGTTTCGATTATTAGTCGCTTTCCGTGCATGTTTCGTTCGCTCCCGCGGGACTTCCATTTCGTTATTGGAATTTGATCGAACCGGCGCGAGCAGTTTCCTCTCATGCAAACGGTTTTTCCTTCGGAGTAGGTGGCAATCTCTCGGCCATCGAAAAACGTACCAGGGGTTTCTGACTGAGAATGGCATACTGATACTTCCATTTTCTTCTCTTATTTTCCCCGATATTTCACGGCAAAGCTGTAGATACACTCGGGAATACTCCCGAGATTCGTATTCACGGAAAATCGATACTACAGACGGACCAAGATGACGTTGGCTTTACAGGCTCTTTACTTCCGCCTGAACGCGTTGTCTGTCAAGCCGTTCTATCCGATCTCGAAGACACGTAAAAATATCGAGACGAAGGGTGCCAGGGTAACGCCTGCGCCGTGTTTCTATGAATAGTCCTGACAGCCAATGTTTCTGGAACTGAGCCCCCTTTTCGATTAACAATACTCGAACGAGATAGTACGTGCCATTGACATTCGAGTTTCGCGCCTGGTCGAGGCAACCTGTTCATTTTTCCGTCTAAACTTTCGTTCGGGGGAACCGGTTTGCCCCAAGGAAGACGAACAAATCGTTGTCGATGAATCAAGAGACTCGTAGATCGAGTACTTTCGCCGAACATCGAATCGCCAATTAATAAACGACGATTAATGGGCCCCATCGATTCACCAGAGTTTTCTCGGTAATCGATCGTAACGTTGAGTCGAATTCGGTGGCATCCTCGATCAGTTTACAGTTTTCTCCGGCTGGCTTTCTTCTCGTCGTCAATCCCCGCTTCTACGATCCTCGCGCGCAGAGTAATGGCCGTCGCCGTACGCAGATTTATGCCTGTGTTTTACAAACGTTTGAATAATCGATCCGCTCGAAGCGTCCGTAGAAACTGTACTCGTCTCCGCGATGCAACGCGAGCTTAATTACCCTATTAAAAGTTAATGTATGGTAATCGTTTTGCTCGACAACGTCGAGATTTAAGCCAATACCACGCGGGGGAAAAAGAAGGTAAACGTTTGTTTGCGAGACCGTTCTAGAACGAAGATTTATTAGTCGACGATTTCGTTTATGGGGAAAGTACTCTTCCGGACGATGCGTTAAAGTTCAACGAACTAAAATAAAATGATAAATTTCTCGCTCGGGAGACCCAGGATCCGTTACTATCATCTCAGAGTCCAGGAATTTTCGATTTTAACGAGCTCAAAATTCTTAAACATGCAAAACGATTATAATAAAATTCCCGCGGTTTCGACGCGATTGCACGGTCGTTCGTTGCATTTTTCCATCGAGTCGACATATTTTCCGAGACAAAATATGGCGGGAGGGTTGCGTCGAGCGCTTGAAAACGTCGCTCGCGGCTCGCATATTCCGAATTCCGGTTCTAAAATAAGCAACATTCCGTATTTCGGGACGGGAAACGCATAGATATCCGGGGGGGGAGGGGATAGGTTTCGTCGCTAGTCGTTTCCACTTTAACGCGTTTCACTTCGCGAGAAAGCGTGCGACTTTTCTGCGAAGCATAGATCAAACGGTCGTTTTCTTGTTCGAGAGCTCGCCGGAGGATGGGACGGGGCAATAAACGGGAATCAGAGCTACGTATCTGCTTCAATGTCGATTTCTCATCTTTGGGGGAATCTCGTTGGTCGGCAAAGCGTGCCTAAAACGAGTCGTATCTTCGATTTGCAGACGAAACGTTCTCTAGATTCTCAGAACTCGTCGCGAGAAGATTGGCCATTTAAAACGAAGTAAAACGCGTCTCTATCCGCGGCGCGGAGAAATGCAAAATCTGTTTTCGAGGCTAACGGAAAAAAGGAACCCTCGCTTTCAGCCAGAGCGAAGATGCGCGAAACGCGTAAGAAAAACGAAAGGCAAATTAATACATCATGGAAATTTACATTTGAGAGAGCAGCCTTCCACGCGGCTTAAAAAGCTCGCATCGGCGACGAAGGTTGTCTTAAAATGATTAACGTTACGTTCCATCGTTTCCCCATTTTTTTTCCTACGTTTCCTAGCGAAAGGGGGAGTATTTAATGGCGCTTGAAATCCCCGTGACTCGCCCTCACTTTTAAGGCGATCGTATTTTTTCTCGACCGTCCCGTCGGAAAAAAAACCACCCACCTCCGAGCACTGCTTTCTGCCCGGTGCATTGATTTTTCTGGACGTAGTGCGATGCATGCACATGCAGGGAGAAACATTTTATTACGGCTCTGTCGGACTGCACCTTGATAATTACTAAATTCAGATTAATTAAGGAGTGCGTGGCGCTTTGCTCAATTCGGGTATTTCACGGTTGCGTTTCGCTATCAAGAAATAAAGAGTCGTGAAACGTAATCTGGAAAATTATTGGTAATTTCAATGTTTTATGTACACTCACACTCGTATTCCTACACACTCGAATTGAAATTCCACGATCGTAGAGGCTCTAAAACAGAGCAGAGATTCCAGGTTACGCCCTGGAAAGCGAAAAAGGTTGCGCCATTAATACCAATTTTTTACCGCCTTCGGTTTTATTTCTACTTGGACGAGGTGTAGGAATCCGGGCTCCTTTTATTTTCTCCTTTCAGTTCTCCGCCCCGATCTTCCCGCCATTTTCCCCGACGAGGTGCAGACGCCCGTCTCGTTCCAATTTGAAATAAGAGTTCGATTCGAGCCCGAGGACGTATAAAAGCGTACGGTACGACGTCACGGTTGCCCTTCGAAAGGTTCACGATGTTACTACGTGTCGAACGGACCAGCAGAGAAGCGAGAGGAATAAATTGTCTGCACGTTGTCGAAGCCATCGAGTAGATGTAATTTCGCAGTAACCTCGAAGCAGGTTGTTTTCTAAGATGAAATCATCCACGCTCGGTGGCTCCTTGATCCTGGCGAAAATATTGCCCGGAATGGCGGAGACTTTTCTAAGAGGACAGTCGGGGAGAAAAGTCTGGAATTTAACTGGAGAAAATATTCGGGAGAAGGGCGGTATTTGGAATTTACGATTCGTCCACCCTTCGTCTCTTGGGACTAATTGGTTCACCGGTTGAATTTTCAAGAAACGACGTACCCTTGGGCAGTCACAGCCGCCGGTATCCTTTGAGCAGCTAATCTCAAAGGGCATCTAGACGGTCGGTACAACTGTATCTGTTCTTTTGATTTCATCGAATCGTTAATCGTTGCCTCGGGGACCACGAGGTATACTTGCTACCGCGATACCGTAAAATCGTCCCCGCGGGACCATCAAACCCGATTCGTGTAAAGTCGCGCAATTAATTCCATCCAAACGGAATGTCTAAGTTCCTTATCTCGACTGTCAGTGGCGCAGCCAGAGAATTTAGCGACCGGGGCTCGCGTACCAAAAGATAACAGAAACGAATATCGTACAAAACTTTATACGCGCGATACAAAATTCAATTTTTACCCAGCACCGTTCGG